GCTAAATTGATTCAATAGTATTGTTTTAATGAAAGTTTTTCGTAGAGTGATTAAAAAAAACAATCAAACAATTTCCGTAGCGTGATTAATAGTAATAAATTAAAATTATTAATCGTTGAAATATCAAATTTTGATAATTATTGTGAATCAAAATTTATTATTTAAATAAATTAAATTTTATTAAATTTTATTTATTTTATTTTATTCATTCTTAGCAAATAACATTTTTTTAAACTTTTGTTTAAAATTAATTATATTATTTTTTAAGCCTGAACGTTTGGATAATCCATAGAATAGAACGTAACGCCCCATTTCAGATTGAGATTGTAGGGCGACCATGGCTTGGAATAAGTGCCAGGTTTTGATCGGGACATAAAATTGCCTTGATGTGTGTGTGGATGTGTTTGCAGAGATCGATGAATTTTTTGTGTATTTCTTTGTTCTGTGTGAATCCAAGTTTGTTGGATAATCTTTTATCCATTTTAATAAATCCAGTTTTGACATTTTGTTATTGTTTGATTTTAATTGAATTTTAATTGAAATTTTAAATGGGCTTCAATCAAAATTCTAATAAATTTAATAATTGAAAATAGTTAATTTCAATTCAATTTAATTCAAATAGATGCAGGCACGAAGACTCTTGTTACCAGTATAAGATAAAAAATGTTTATAAAAATTTAAGAGTGTGTTGTGGTTAATAAAGGAAAAGAAAGGGCCGTGGCCAGTGAAAAATGGTGTGGTGTGTTTGTTTGGAATGATGTGCTTAGGTATACCTAAAGGAAAGAAAATTTGGAATGTAGTGTTTGTGTTTTCGAGGTAATATTAAAATAGTTCTTGTGTTATTTATATATCAAATTTATTAAGAATTATTATCATGAAAATTATTCAAATGAATTTAATTTTCTCAATAAAAAAAATCGTTTGAATTCGATTTTTTTTATTTATAATTATTAGGAATCAAAATTCATTATAGAAATAATAACACCGTTTTTAATTCGCCAGCTTTTTCCAGATCAACCATTTTGTTGGCCAATTCCATAACCGATGTACCATCATCGATGTGCCGTTAAAGTCCGTGAAGCAACCCTCGCATAAACAATCTGGATCTGTCTACGAATGTTGGTTAAGTCCATCCTGACACCAGAAATAATAACACAATTTGTTTTTCCATTGTTTTGCATTGTTCGACTTCTCGAAATAAATCCAAATTTTTTTGATAATCTTTTATCCATTTGAACAATT